GCAGAATTCGTGGCAGGCGCAGCACTTTGTGAACCTCGAGGTGCAGATTTCGTGGTTGGCACAGCACTTTGTGAACCTCCATGCGCAGATTCCGTGGCAGGCGCAATACAAAATGCATTTTCGAGAGATAGCGGACGCACGAAGTGCTGTGTTTTTCAAAAGAAAGGGTGGCTCCGAAGCTGGCAAGTCAAGCTTTGCGGAACGACGTGTGCGAGACGGTCTCGGGTCATGGTCGGATCATGCTCGGAATCGTCCCTCCATTGTGGTTGGAGTTTTCACTTGTTTCTTGAAGTGCAGATTTCGTGGCAGGCACAGCACTTTGTGAACCTCCATGTGCAGATTTCGTGGCAGGCGCAGCACTTTGTGAACCTCCATGTGCAGATTTCGTGGCAGGCACAGCACTTTGTGAACCTCCATGTGCAGATTTCGTGGCAGGCACAGCATTCTGGGGAGCTGGAAGCTGAGAACTGGCGACTTTGTAGTACAACTTTAGTACGCGGAGTAGTCTGGCGAGGTGGAGGCTGAGAACTGGCGACTTTCTGGTACAACTATAGTGCGCGGAGCAATCTGTGGAGCTGGAAGCTGAGAACTGGCGACTTTGTAGTACAACTTTAGTACGCGGAGTAGGCTGGGGAGCTGGAAGATTGCTTGCACATGCCCAGTTGCTTCAGCACGCCGGTGTGGGCTGCTGATCTTGCTTTGGCATGGACACAACCCAGTACGCTGTTGCGAGCTGCTGATCTTGCACAGACCTTGCACAGGTGGCGCTGTGTTGGTCAAAAGTCCGGAGCGCATGCGTCTGACTGAGGGACACGAGGGACACGCATGGTGGAAAGAACTGGCACACTCCTATAGGTCAATTTGTTCTTATAGGAAACTTCCGCCGCGGGCTTGCCCGGGAACTCCTCGTATTGGGGGCTCGAGCTGGGCTTGATATAATAAGGGGAGGTTACTTAATCCCAGGTGTGAATTATAGGAGGACAAAGGGAAGCTGCTCAAGAGAATCAGTGCATTCAAGGCATCGTAGTTCACAAATGCCTATCTCACCCAGAAATTTGTCAGGGGTTGGCCGTAGCTCCTGTGGTATAGACCAACTTGTGTTCTGAGTCTACAAAAGGTTCATGAACAGGGGCGATGCAAAGAGCATGCAGTTAGCCTTTTGTTTGTAGGAGAACAGACCTGCATGTAGCCTTCTCGGGAACTTCTTGGGTAGGAGCGCCAGGAGCCGACAGATCCAAACAGGATGTGCTTGAGGTGTTGATACGTCACAGGTCGAGAGTCAACGATTCGCAAAATCAATTACAAGGTCCCCCCACCAGACCGAAGCCGTGCTCGCCCAGGTTGCCCCGGATGTATTCGTGCGGAATACGCCTGGAGACGCAAATCGGCAGCACATCAGGGGCTCAAGGCTCCAGGGATCGTGCGTCTACAGAATTACAGAACCAACAACATGCTGTAATCATGCAAGTCTGCACTCAAGTAGATGAGATGATGAGATGTATGACAATGACCCATCCGTACAAATTCTTGTACATTCTGGAGTCTCCCATTCGACGTTTCTCCCGAGACCTCATAAGTCTCATAAGCGTTTAAAGCAAAAAGCAACACGTCACCTATGTTGGTTTGCTTTCTCGCGATTTATCACTCCATCGACTTGCGCCTCTTCCGCAGGGCTGCCACGTAAGGATCGGTGTGAACCTGCCCGACGGTCGATGTGTCCGGAATGGAGCCCATCGAGACTGGTCTCTCTGACCACGCATGAGTAAACAGTCTTTTCGACAAATGGATGAGGAGACTGTGTGGGTACCTGAAATTGACTGAATGGGGTCAATATATATATATATATAATGGTTTCAGGATCTTTCAGACCTTGCGGGATGAAGATGGGGCTGGAGGATCATTGCTCATCATGCATCATCACTATCAACTTCAGTTCTACTTTGCTGCTGGAAACTGGAATCTAAACGAGAAACCTGCAAACATTCTACAGTACATAAAGGCCTTCTTTCAAGGCATTCTACTACCCGCAACCCTCCACTTTGTACCTTCGCTGGGCACACCGCGTCCCCCGTGGAGCCAACAATAAAGCTCGGCCTCGGGACACAACGCATGGCTGTCTAAGTCTCTGCCGATGTATATAATGGTATTCATGATAAGTCCAAGTGTTTGCACGGGATGCATGATATTTCTGCCCCACCACGGAGGCCGCTCTGCCTTTCCATTTCCAAATGAGAAAAGCCTCTCAAATGCAACACCCTCGCCAATCAAGAGCCCTGTCTGCTCCACAAGCCTCACTTCCAGAATCAACACCGGGGTCTCCACGGGGCAGCGAAGCCACGTCCTGAACGAATCGTCAAGTGCTGCCGATATGGCTGGGTGGAAAAAGAAAGGAGCTCAGCAAGACCATCTTGTTCTTCTGCGCACAAGCACAGTCAGTGTATGCCCCAAAACAACCACGTCACAGCTCGAAGATGTACTTTCTGGGCAGGTTTGAAAAAAAGAGCTTGGCTCCTCCCAGCAGTGCTTGTTGGCCTCTCACATCATGTACCAATGGACTGCTCGCTGTTGAGTACTTCTATTAAGACACCAAAGTGAATGGCATCCTCGAAACAAAAGCAGCTCATTCGTCCCTTCAAATATTGGCTACGATTACTTCACAACAGCTGCTAGGTGTGGTCCAGTAGGCACACACAGTGTGCCAGGTCATTCCGTTCTTCTATTCTCCTTGGCGACCAGTGGATAACTGAGAGGACAGAATCATTGGTTGACGACCGAGAAGCACAATTAAGGCCCATGGATAGGAAGCTTGAG